AAAAAAAAAAAAAAAAAAAGTCTTTAAAATCCACCCCCTCCAAGCAAGATGTACGGTATAGAAAATTCTCCTTCCTCTTGACATACTTCTGTTCCCTTGTCTACATTTAGGTTTTTCGCCTATCTTGTACGTAGAGTGTTTTCCTCCAGATGGAGAGTCCATCGTGTTAGCAGTGCTGTGAAACCAGCCAGTCCTTCCCACCAGGCCTCGAAATCTGTCTTGTCATATACACACACACACGACGAGGTCTATTTCTAGGCTGTCTATTCCGATCCAGGGATGACTGTCTTCCTGTGTCAGGACACGTGTACTGCTTTTAGAATCGGGGGGGGGTTATTTTTTAAAAAATAGCAGCCTGGCCAGGAGCAAAAATACCTGGCAGCCAGGAGGCCGAGCTGGACGAGTAGATCTCCCTGGCCCAACCAGGAGGCCAGATGGAGGAGGGGAGAGATAGGAAGGACCCAGCTGCTTGTAAAATAAAGTCTTCCCTTTTATTCAAATTAACCCATTCCCAAGTTAGTGCTGAAAGTTGAGAGCAGGGGCCCTAAGCCCACCGGTGCGTGGTGGGGGTGGGGCACTCCTGTCCCTTCAAGGAGGCCCTGGTGGCGGAGAAGGGGGGGCCCCCTCTGGCCGGCCCAGGGCCCTGGCCTTCTCCCAGGGCTAAGGGCATGTGGAGGGGGTGGGGTAGGGAGGCTGTCCTGTGTGGGGTGTCCGTGGCCAGGGGTGTTGTTAGTGGTGGGAGCCCCGTCAGGCTGGGTTAGTGGAGTCTTCTCCGGCAGCCAGGCAAGGAACTGCAGAGAAAGATAGAGACAGGGCTCCAATGCTGGCAGGAAGGCCACTGCCATGCCCAGAGTGCAAGAGGAAGGCAGAGGCCAGTGGCTTCCAGAGCTGGGGTGTCACTCTGATAGCTTACCGGGAATAGGGGACAGGCTCCAGTCTGGCATGGAGAAGAGGCTCAGATAGATGACTGCCACTGCACGAAGCGCTTGGATTCCTGGGGGGTGGGGATGTGGGGTCAGAGGAAGGCAGGATGTGGGAATATGGCTTTGTGGTGTGGCCCCCAGCCCCTCCTCCATCAGACCCAGGAATTGGATACCTGAGGGTTGAAAGGGTCGTCATCATCTGTGTCATCGTAGTCGTCACTGGGGTGCAATGCAGGGAGTGGCAGAGATGGAAGATGGGGGAATGCATCAGGAGGCTGCCCCCCCACACACAAGATGCCCCCCCCCACTGTGTGTCTTCCTCTCCCCCTCCTTTCTCCCCTCCTGACCTGGGTGGGAACAGGGCCCAGGCTCGAGGCAGGCTGCAGAGGGCGGTGGCCAGGGCCCCAGCGGACAGGAGGGAAAAGAGCAGCAGGAAGAGCAGGCCCTCGAGGGCGTCTTCACACAGGCCCCGCAGGGCTGCGCTGTAGTCCTGGGTGGGCGGGGGTAGGGGCATCAGTGGGCAGTGCCCCCTCTCTCCCCCCACACACAGTGCACCACTCAGACTCTCCCCCCAGCTGTGCAATGCTGGGCAAGTCACTTAACCTCTCTGTGCCTCTGTTTCCTCCCCGCCGTAAGTGTTCAGCACAGAGCCTGGCACACGGAAAGCACTCCACACACAGTAGGTGCTGCGGTCACTGTCATTATCACACCTGCAGGCACGACTTCAAATCTCAGCCTCTTGTCCATCACTGAGAACCCTCCACCTCACCCCACCCCCACCTACTAGATGCCAGTGGGACCTCCCATTGTGACAACCAAACGCCCCCTGGGACATGCCCAGTGTCTCCTGGGCAAAATTGCTGGCTTCAAACAACAGCCAGGGTGACACCCAGAAGATCCCCTGAGTTGAAACTGCCCCTGGTACATAACACACACTTGGTAAATGCCGGCCATTGTCCCTGGAAATCCTCACGGCCCCCAGTTACTAACTGCCCAGCCATCAGGCATCAGCGAAGATCGGCCAAGGGCCTGCCCTGAGCCTACCCTGCCCCAGGTTCCGGGAGACTTCAGTGACCAGGCCCCCGAGCTGGTGAGGGAGGCCATCCTGAGGCCCCACAGCCCAACAGAAGGAGCTGGGCCCAGGGGAAGTCTGGGAGCCCTGAGACAGGCCTGCAGCCTTATAGGTGCAAGAGACCAGGGCTGGGGACCAGGTAGGGCTAACCACACAGGCACAATTGGTCCAGCGAGGAGTAGAGATGGTCATCCACCCATGCAGGGGATCTCTGGAGGAAGAACTTGATCGGATTGTGTTTAAAAGGCGCACCCAGCTGTTGGCTGTGGCTGGGAGCAGATGGAGGTGGGCGAACGGGCCAGGGAAAAGGCTCCGGCCATTGGGTGAGCTTGGCCAGGAGCAAAAATGCCTGGCAGCCAGGAGGCCAATGTTGCAGAGATGGGTGGTGGTGTGAGCAGTGCGCAGACTCCAGATGGGTTCAGAGGAAGGGCCGATAGGACTTGCCAGCAGAATCGTTGAGAGAGGTAAGGACAGGAAGCAAAAGGGATCTCAGAGGTTTCTGGCTGGAGCTCCTGCGTGGGGGTTGGGGGTGCCTAGTACTGAGCCCATGAAGCCTGGGGGAGGGGCCTTCAGAGCAACGGGTTCTGCTTTGACTGGATCAGACACGCACAGTGTCCTTTCACACTCCTAACAGCCCTGCGAGGCGCAGATCGAGGCCCCTCACACTGCTGCCCTTCGCAGTACCAGAGAGGGTGAGCCACCTGCCGGAGTCCCAGAGCCTGGATGGGCCGGGCCGGGGCTGGAACCAGGTCTGTGGAGCTTCAGAGCCCACGCACTGCCACGCCGTCTCTGAGAACACAGGCCTTCCCCCTTCCTGTCTGTGCCCTTGGGCTCCTGACGAGGGCTGCAGATCCAGCGGCCTTGAGTGACCCAGCCCTGCGTGCCTCCTAACCCGGGTCTATGATTCAGACAATAGCAGCAGCTCCTTCTTGGTACCATTACGAAGGAGGGCTCGGTGAGTCACCGCCACTGAAATATCCCAGAGCCCAAAGTTCGTAATAAAGCCCATGTGCAAGCAGGGGGACGACTGGTTTTCTCCTGAGCCCTCACAGCCACCCAGGAAAGCAGGTCCCATCTTCCTCGTTTCACAGGTGAGGAGTCAGAGACTCGGGGACATGCCCCTGCCGGTGGCCACGCCACCCGCATCGGAGCCCAGACTGGAAGGAGTCCGCAGGGCCCCAGCTCGCTCTCTCCTGGTGTCCTGCCCACCCCTGCCTGAGCACGACAGCATGCACCCCACAAGGGCTTGACAGATATTTGCCCCTGAATCCCTGCTTTATAAGTGGGGAAACTGAGGCACAGAGAGGTCAATGACTTGCCTGAGGTCAAGAACTAGGACTGGAACCTGGGCAGTCTTGCTTCAGAATTCACTAAGCTGCACAGCTTTAGGGGGGAGTCATGGAGGGAGGGAGGGCAGGAGGAGGGGGGAGGAGCAGTAGGTGGGCTGGAGGGAGAGGGCAGATGAGGGCAGAGCCAGGGAAGAGGGGTGGCGGGAGGGAGGAAGGAAAGGGTTCTGGACGATAGGTGGATGGAAGGTTAATGGGTAGAGAATACTACGTGACATATAAATAACACATTGGCAGATGGATTTCTCGGGGGCAATGGGAAGCAGGCTGGCAGGGCTGGAGGAGTGGAAGGAGGCCCTTCAGGGTCCAGGCAGAGGCGCCCCTGGGGAATAATTTGGGGAGGGGCCCGGAGTCACCTTGTGCAAGCCTCGACAGTGCAGCAGTGCCACCAACTGGTGGAAGTTTCCCTCAGTCACATTCAGCGTGTCCTCCAAGGACAGAAGAGGCTTCTGCGGTGGGAGGGGGTAGTTATCCCACCTACTCCAGAGACGCGTCGGCCGCCGGGGCCCCGCCCTCTCCAGGCCCCGCCCAT